CGCGGACCGCGCTCCCGTCTCTGTCTCCGTAGCTCACGTCTCTTAACCGAGTGTGCATTACGAAAAAAGTCCGGCAGTCTTATTTAGCGTAGTTTTGTTGTCTATTGATTGACAACAACCACCGGCAACGTACATGCGCTTACGGGTGCGTGGCATACCAAGCTTGGATTTTGGGGAGGGCCGCGACGGCGTCGGCAATTTCATTCCAGCGCACGTACGGGTCGCACATCGTCGTTGGAATGCCGACCATAAAGCCCGATCGCAAGCAAATGCGCATGATGAGGAGCTCCACGTCAGCGAGCGACAGCATGTCGCCCAACAGGTACGGGCCGCCCTTGTTTGCTGCGACAAGACGTGCTTCAACACCCGCAAACAAGGCCGGGAGCATCACGTCAACGAGTTCCTTGCCGAGTGCGTCCTTCTTGGTGACGTCGGCTTCGTGATACCATGGACTCAACTGACTCATCATGTCGTCGAACGCGGCGAGGAGCTCGTCGATGCGGTACAGTAGGCGCCCAGTGGATCGGTCGTCGGGTAGAGACCAGTGAGGTGGCCGACATACCGCGCCATGCCGCGCGACTGCGCAAATACTTCGCCGTCCACAGTGAGCGTCGGGAGTTGCTGGAATGGCAGCGTCGGCTTGCGCACCAAAAATTCTTCGTAGCTGAGGCGCTCGTCCTCGAACGGAATGTCGTGGAGGAAGAGCGTGAGACGCACGAGCTCGGCGCGGCCAGGCGTGTTGAAATACGTGAGCTTCATCGTGGATGGGGCTATTGGACCGCACAATGCTAAGTGAGAGGGCTCATGCATGGAGTGTAGACCTGGTTCTAGAAGACGACATCAACGCGTAATCGGGCTGCGTCGTGTGAGCGCGTTTTCTGTTGTGTTCCGGGCTGTTGAAATGCTGGTGGTTGATCTACATTCGACAGAGATGTGGCGCTTGCGGGAACAGCAATAAGACGTTACGTGGAACGTCCGATGTGATCCATCTGTCAAGGTGCTGCAGCAACGACACGTTCACCAACATTGTGAAAATGCGCGTTTAGCGTGGTCCATGAGAATAGACCATATTTTGCGATGCTTTTGGGTCGCAATG